GCCAGCCCTGCCCCTCTAAATATAAACATCTTTTATTTTCCAAAGTAATCCAATCCCTAATCCATGTCAGGGCCGCTGCTTGATAGTACAGCTCCCAATCCGGAAAACCTAATCCCCCACTCTCTTTGGCATCCTGTAGAGCCTTTTGTTTTATCCTTGCCTTCTTTCCTTGCCACACAAAATCCAAGGTTAATTTATTCAACTCTTTAAAGAATTTTTTTATCTAATTGGATTGGAATATTTTGGAACAAGAATATCATTTTAGGTAAAATATTCATTTTCACTGCTGAGATTCTTCCTAGAAGCGAAAGATGTAAGTTTCTCCAGCGGTCTAAGTCAACTTTTATGTGCTTTACTAATTTTCTGTAATTGTCCTCTTTGATTGATGAACAACGTGCTGAAATAACAATTCCCAGATATTTTATTTTAGGAACTACTTGTATACCTAGTTTTTCCCCAAGATTTTCTTTTTGTATATTAGTCATATTTTTTGCTATGATCTTTGTTTTATTTTTGTTTATTTTCAAGCCTGCCGAATCTCCATATTCCTCCAGTATTTCTTTTTTTTTTTTTTTTTANACTCTATGTTTCTTTTGAATATAAACAATCCATCTTCTCCATATTGATAAAAATTGTTCATTCGAATGGTTCTTCAAGTAAGCCGAAATCTTTGCCATTTCAGCAAGATACGAAACTTTCAATCTCCAGTCTCCCATCGTAGGCAGAATTGGGCTCTTCCAATTTTGGGCTATTAGCAATCGGGCAGCAGATAAACAATGAAGCAACAAATTTATTTCTTTTGCATCTAGATCTTGCACAATACCTAAGAGAAACAACTATGGAAGAAAAATAATCCTTTTTTTAAAAATCTGCTGTAAGTTCCACCATAATTGTACCCAGAAGGCCTTAATAATCTTACAAGTCCACCACATATGAAAAAAAGTTGCATCTGGATGACCACACCTCCAGCACTTGGATTCATAATTCGGGTAAATACGAGACATAGTTGAAGGATCCAAGTGCCATCTGTAAAACATCTTATAAAAATTTTCACGTAAATTTTGTGCTTGTGTAAATTTCACATTTCTCACCCAGATCAGCTCCCAAGTGTCCATAGGTATTGTTTCTCCTATATTTTGAGCCCATTTAATCATACAATCTTTAACTAATTCAGTTTCTGAGTCCAATTCTAATAAAACATTATATATCCTCTTAATGTGAGCTTTGGCACCATCTCTTATTTGCTTCAGAAAAATCCCATCTTCCAAAACAAAAGAAGTCTTTTTATCAATTCGCCATCTATCTTTAATTTGTCCATACAAAAGCCAAGAAAAATTTGGGTTGTTTTGCTTTAACTCATCCATTGATTTTAAGCACCAGTTACCACCACCACTCTGGTATAACAAATCTTTATAAGTAGTTATACCTAGTTTTTCCCCAAGATTTTCTTTTTGTATATTAGTCATATTTTTTGCTATGATCTTTGTTTTATTTTTGTTTATTTTCAAGCCTGCCGAATCTCCATATTCCTCCAGTATTTCAAATAGCTTCTGACCTGATTGCACAGGATCTGTGCAATACTAAATGAATACTAAATCATTGGCATATGCTTGGAGTTTATATATTTCCTTCTTAATCTCAAGCCCTTTGATTTGCTCCTCTTGCCTTACAACTCTAGCTAAAATCTCCAATGTATATATAAACAGCAACAGCGAGAGAGGACATCCTTGTCTTGTACCTTTCTGAATACTGAATTTGTTGGTGGCCTCACCATTTATTATAATCTGAGCATTCTGTTCGGAATATATTGCAGTTATTACATTTAGAAAGTTCTTACCGACATCCATTAATTTCAATTGTTGAGTCAAAAATAGCCAATTGATATTATCAAATGCCTTCTATGCGTCCAGAAACAGAAGTGCCAGTTGGCGATCATTATGCAATTCGTAAAATTCGAGAAAGTCTATAATTGTCCTTATATTCCGCTTAATCTGCCTGTCTGGTAGAAAACCGTTTTGGTCACAATGTATGAAGTCAATTAAATAATTTTTAAATCTCTCTGCCATTATTGATGCAAAGATCTTATAATCGGCGTTTAGTAAGGAGATAGGTCTGTAGTTTTGTATCTGTGTTCTTTCCATATCTTCTTTTGGTATTAATACTATATTTGCCTCTGACCAGAATTTAGGTATTTTAGCTTCAGTTAAAACGGCATTGAAAACTTCTAATAGATATTGGTTGAGTACATTTTGTTGCTCTTTATACAGCTCCGCTGGTATTCCATCTGAGCTGCCCGCCTTATTGTTCTTTTGTTTACTTATAGCCTTAGTTATTTCAGTCATTCTTATTTCCTCGTTTAGCATAATTTTTATTTCCTCTGGTATCTTCGGTGTATCTGCCTTTTCCATATATTCTATCATCCTTTCTGCACTTTGTCCCTCGCACCTCTTATATAATTTTTCATAATATCTTTGAGCAATTCCCCTTTTAGTGATCTCATCATGTTGAATCTCTCCTTCCTCATCTTGCAGGTTAATAATCTGTTGCTTCTCTTCCTGTCTTCTCAATTTATACGCCAACCATCTTCCAGGTTTATTCGCATGTTCAAAATTGTGTTGCTTGGCGACCTTAAGTTGTTGTGCTAGCTTTTTCGAGTCTTCTATGCAAAGTTTATGTTTGATTAAGTCCATTTTACTTTTCAATCCTTTATTGTTTAGGTCACCCTGATATTGTTTTTCAGCCTGTTTGTATTCTTCCTCAAGCCTTATCCTGTATTGCTTTTTATCCTTATTTTTTTTAGCCATATATGAGATTGGAACTCCCCTCATGTATGCTTTGGCTGTGTCCCAAATATTCTGCAGGGATGTATCCCCATTTTTGTTCACTTGAAAAAAAAAGTGCATTTCTTTCTCCATCTTTTCCTTAAACTCTTTTTCTCTAAGGATCGCTCTTTGAAGAGTCCATCTTGGCCGACTCCTCTACCCTTTCCAGCAAAGACTTATGGGATTGTGGTCTGCCCAAAGACTAGGTTCTATATTAATTCCTTGAATTACCGAGTCTAATTCTTTTGAAAGCTCTTAAAGTTTCTTTTCGATGGCTGTACTATATAATTAGATTAAACTCTCTAGCTCTAATGTTATTTCTGCACATATCACATCTCCATGATGCCACTAATGGCAGAGGTAGCCCTTGAGTTATGACTGGTCACTTAAAGGCCATACAAAATTCCAACAGATCTATCTTGGGGGTACTTATGACTTGGATTTGATGTTCTGATGGTCGCCTCTCCCTCTTCAGTCAACTGACCGCACTTTGGGTACTTGGCAACTGGGCTACGTTTATGGCTGTTTGCAGTGTCTTACAGCCATATGAAATATTTTACAACCGTTTTACCAAAACTGGCATTTATTTCCAGTTTTTGGAAAAACTGCACCCATGGTGAACTATTGTGGTGGTTCGCTTAATAGGTGCTGCAAAGAAGGTCATAAAATCAATTTGGTCACATGGACACGGCAAGCTTTATTACTAGCCGATCTTGTATTAAGAAGTAAGAGCCAGAAATCAGAGGTGCTAAAACTCTGAAGTCCAACATCAAACATTGGAACTGAGCATTGGGGGGGGGGGGCTGGAACATGGAATTGGCAAGAGCCACCAAAACCTATGTGTCTTATTTTCCAAAGAATGCATAGAGTTTCACTGAATGATGGGGAAAATGCACTCTAAGAAACACATTTCTAAGAAAAAAATAGAATTCATGAATAGAAATAAAATATAAACCTTAAAAGTTTCTGCTAGTTGCAAAGTTCCATATTAATTTAATCAGAAATTGTCTTAATCCCTTTGGGCATCAATTTTTCCCATGAAGAATAATATACATTCAAAACTAACTCTAAAGAAATAGAAAATTCATTCCAGTCAAAATTGTTAAAAGGATACTGGTATAATATTTAGTATACTGTATCTTTCTTCATTCTGGTTCCCTTCTGGATGTGTTGAATTCCAAATCCAATAAACTCAAGCCTTCCTGGCAATAGATTGGATAAGCCTAGCTGAATATGTGTTTGATTTTTTTATTGAAATAATATGGAAATAGCTATTATTAACATTGCAAATATGATAATCATGTATCCAAAAACCATCTGGATAAAATACCAGGCTTATGATACAATAGCATGATTGTTTACAATATTAATCTGCACCCAATTAATATATGATAATCCTCAAAAGCACAAAGAAGCCAAGCTTTTAAAAACTGCACAAATATATTGATTTTCAATAATATTCTTCTTCTTTAGAAAAAACAATCAGGAAAAAAAGTCATTTATTGCCAAGTGATTTTCTCAGAGCATTTATGAGCTCCTTGATCACTCAAAATCACATAAATCATAAACAATATTGCTCTAGTTTGGCAAGTCTAATTGAACATGTAGATTTTTTTTTCCCACAAAACCAAACTGGATTTGGATATTTCTAAGTTTGTAAAGATAATAACTAAAGCTATATATATTAAAAAATTCACAGACATATAAGCATATTAAACAACTTATAAGTTTGAAAATTCAGAACCGATCACAATCTTTGTTTTTGTTGAACTGTGAACTAATATAATCTTTATAGTTAGATTATATAATAGCGTATCACAGGGATTCTCAACCTGTGGTCTGCAGACCCTGGGGAGGGGTCTGCGAAGGCTGGAAAAATATTATGATTGAAATATTGAGTTACGTCTTGGGGATCTTAGGGGTCTGTGGCACTTTAAATGTTTAAAGGGGGTCGGTGGTGAAGAAAAGGTCGAGAACCACTGTTGTATCAAATTTACAAACTTCTGATTTTTACTATCCATAGTGATAAAGATTTTTGATCCTGTGATGTGTAAAAATCATAATTGTGATTTAAGGTTACCAGGAACCTTCTCCTTGTTGATTGCTAGCAAAGATATTCTTTTCCTTACTGATGTTCTTCCTTTTTGGAAATGGCAATGCTTGTAATGAAATTGTCCATTAAATGTCTCTAGGATTATTCCTTTTAAAAATCAATATGTTGCCCACGGATTTGGTTGCAGCATCTTTCACCTCCTTATTCCTCAGACTGTAGATGAGAGGGTTGAACATGGAGACCACAACTGTGTAGAACAATGAGGCCCATTTGTCTTGGTCCATGGAGTAGCTGGAGCTGGGCCGAAAGTATATGAAGAGTATTGTCCCGTGGTATATGCCAAGAGCTGACAGGTGAGAGCCGCAGGTGGAAAACGCTTTCTGCCTGCCCTCAGCAGAGCGCATTCTCAGGACTGTACTCAAAATATAAGCATAGGATACAAGAATCATAGCTATGCTGCTTACTTCAACAAAGCCAGCAACGACAATTATCACTATTTCACTGATGTAAGTATCTGAACAGGAGATCATTAAGAGTGGAGGTATGTCACAGAAGAAATGATTAATAACATTTGACTGGCAGAATATCAGTCGAAATATTGAGGATGTGTATATTGTTGCATCCATTAGGCCTATGCAATATGCAACAGCAATCATTTGTTGGCAGATCTTTTTGGACATGATAGCTGGATAGAGAAGTGGATTGCAGATGGCCACATATCTGTCATAGGCCATCATAACCAACAAAACACACTCTGTATCTCCAAATGTAGTAATCAGAAAGAGCTGTGTAGCACAAACATTGAATGAAATTCTTTTTCCTTCAACCAACAAGTCAATCAGCATTTTTGGAGAAATGGCTGAAGAGCAGCAGAGATCAACAAAGGAGAGGTTGCTCAGGAAGTAATACATGGGTTTGTGGAGTTGGGTGTTAGTGGAAATCAACAGAATCATCCCAACATTCCCTAAGACAGAGATAACATAAACAAAGAGGAAGATTGTAAAAAGTAAAAACTGCATTCTGGGATTGCCTGTGAATCCCTGAAGAATGAATTCAGTAATGACAGATTCATTTTTGTTGTCCATGATTTTTCTTGGTGGGCACTGGGTTCACGATATTAGCTGATCCTGAAATGCCTTTCTGATCCTTTGTTAGGGTAAAGAAAATTTCGTTATTCAGGGCTTCATTCATGTTTCTCTCTTCATAAAACAAGTGGACATTTTTTTGAGGATTTTATCATATCTACTACCGTATATCATATATTTGCTAGCAAGAAAACTTTTATTATATAGAATAATACATTTTTAAAAAACCTAGTTGATGAAAATTCAATATGAAGCATGTTATATACAAACTCATTTACAAACTGCCATGTATGTTAAGACTGCGGAATAATGTACAACAATACTGCTATATCTATTGCTGTAAACTATATGTTGAATTGTAATGTATTTCTAGCTGCTGGAGTCTCTATTTTCCCCTCCCCAATTGAGAAACCTTCCATTATATTCTGGAAAAGGGGACTTAATGCTAGATTCCTGTTTAGTTCAAATCCCTTTTCAGTAGAGTAGGAGTTGACCAGAAATATAGTAGGTGCATTTCCCATCCAATTCATTCCCTCCTTTTATTGTTTAGAGTCTATTAAAATATATTAAAACAGGAAAAGCATTAAACAAAATTCAATAAGTAGCATTACAAAGTGTTTGCTTCAATTCCATTTGGAATTTATGACATAATATTGGCACAATGCTAATGATGATAGAAAGCAGAGCTGATTGTTGATTGTTGACATGAAAAATACTTATGGTGCCCCTATGATGACCCCCTAAAGTGGGGAAGTGAACTAAGGAGAAATAGTGGTTCTATCAGGAATACCTAAACATTCTTTTATTTGGGGGCAGTAACCTCAGTTGATTCCTTTTGCAGTCCTGACTTCCATTGATGCATGAATTTTGATGCTATTTGCTTTGATTGCAAAGTTGTGTTGATGTCTTATTGCCAACTTTCTCCTAGACTGCATTGTAACAAAGGAGGTCAAAAGTAGAGTCATTCAAAAAGTAGTGTTCTTAGGTGAGAGCCCCATGAGCAATACCCTCAAATAGCATGCACACTGTATGGAAAGGACAAATCCACATGTGAAGTCATTGCACATTGAAGCTTAGACCTTTACAGTATAGAAAAAGATTGGAATGAAAATTGAGTCATGCTAAACCATTTCCCTAAACTCAATGATTTTTTTAAAAAAAATCATTGTTGTATACTGCCCAGATTCACAATTTGATGAGATGGGAAGCCATAAAAATATAATAAATAAAACTTTTTCCTTAGTTCTCACTTTACCCTTATATCAAAACTAGCCACCAGACAAATATCTGATCAAAAGAAGCCAATTAATATACTTGTGCTTTCTAAGCAAGAAATGGAGTAACAAAAAATTAAATGAGAAGCTTAAGTCCATTGCAACTTAAAGGTTTATGGGCTTTGATATATAACCTGATATATTGTTTAACAATGGGAAGTTAAATACTCTTTCTGATGCATTTCAAATCATGAAGAGCGTTATCGGTAGCTTCAGTTTACTCTCTGTTTACCTTTAAGTGAAAGTAATTTTACTATCTTCTGTTAAACATGGAAATCAAATTCTCTTCTTATAGAGGCATTATGATATGCAAAGCTGAGATTAGACACTGAGAAATTGAATTAACCACTAAGAAGTATCCAAAACCATGACATTGTGAAGAACCATAAATGCATTGAAGATAAAAATTTAAGCTTTCTGTTTAATATGATTTGGAAACGTCTTAGGATTCCATGTGAATTGTTACTGTTAATATAAATATGCAGTGTGTAATGGCGAAACGTCTAGGGAGAGCATATTTGATTTAGTGGTTAAGACACAAGGCTAAAAACCAAGAGACTCTGATTTCTATTCCTGCCTTAGGCAGGAAAACTGGCTGGGTGACTTTGGGTTAGTCCCTCACTCGACGCACAATGTGAGGCTCAGGCACAAGCTGGTGGGTCAGTTCTTGTTGCAATCAATGGATCAACACACTCCATTGATCTGGAAAAAAAAGCATATCCTGTACTTACGGGGAAAACACTAGGAAGGAAGGAAGAAAAAAGAAAAAATGGCAAAAAGTCTAAGTTTAATACAAACATAAATCTTTTTTTCTAAATTAACATACCTGGAATCAAGTCAGTGGCTTCGCTGCTTTTACAAAACCTGCAAATACGGGCAGAGATCTTAAATGTGTTTTCATCCCACCTGGGATAATATCCCTCATGCATTTCAATACTCCGGATGGTGGAGATAAGTGGTTGCATTTTCACAGTTTCTGGTGATAGTTTTAATTGGAGGAATCTTAGAGTAAAAAGTACAATTCCTCTTAAAGTTTCTTTTTTTAAATTTTTTTTAAATGATTTTATTAAATACAAAAAAAAGAAAAGTTAAAAAAACATTGAACATAGTGTATCATCTTTGACATATATCTTTGTCTGATCATTCCATACTGTACATATACATTATACATTTCTAATACTCTTCCTCTACTTATATCCCTTCTAACGACTTCCTTTCCCCCCCTCCATTTGTAAAATTTATTCCAAATTAGGTAGTATTCTGTTTTTTCCTGATTTTTTAATTCTTTAGTCATCTTATCCAATTCTGCGCAATATAAATTTTTTCTTATTAGCGCATCTCCGCTAGGCACTTCAGTTGCTTTCCAATTTTGGGCAAACAAGATTCTTGCCGCCGTTATCACATGTATAATTAAATATATATCATCTTTGTTTATATTTTTTCTAATATTCCTAGTAGTAGCATCTCTGGTTTATATTGGATTTTTTGACCCGTCATTTCTGTTATCCATTTCCAAACCCTAAGCCAGCGGTTCTCAACCTATGCGTCGCGACCCCATTTGGGGTCGATCGACCATTTCACGGGGGTCGCCAATCAAGGCTGTCCTCCATTTTTTCCCCTTTTCCGGCGGGTGCCTTACCTCCCTTGGGCTGGGCTAGCTGGTGGTCGGCCTGCTCCGTCTCTGCCGCTTGCCAGCTATGCCTCGGCCGGTGCAGGGGGCGGAACCACGCATGCGTGGCGCTCCCGGGCAGGGAAATTCCTCGACTTATGACCGGTTGGGTAGTCCTCGATTTACGACTGGTTTAGTCCTCGACTTACGACCGGTTTAGTCCTCGACTTACGACTGGTTTAGTCCTTGACTTACGACCGGTTGGGGGTCGCGGCATTAAAAAGGTTGCGAACCACTGCTTTAAGCCAATAAACCTGTACTTCTTTACAAGCCCACCAAACGTGGAAGAAAGTACCCTTTTCCCTTTTGCACTTCCAACAGAGTGGTGAGTAACCACTATACATTTTTGCGAGCCTAGCCGGTGGCAAATCCCATCTATAAAGCATCTTACAAAGATTTTCCTTATAAGTTGTCGCCAATGTAATTTTATTGTTACATTGCCAAATTTTCTGCCATTGGTCCAAATTTATAGCGTGTCCCAAATCTATTGCCCAGGTAACCATCGTTTCTTTAACTTGTTCCTCATATAATTTATATTCTAACATATATTTATATATTTTTTTTATTTGTTTTTTCTCCGAACCTAGTAATATTTTGTCAAGCCCCGTATCTTGTCTATTAATTCCCCATTCTTTCTTATCTTTCCCATATCTCGCTTGCATCTGAAGATAGGACCACCATTCCAAAACTATTCCCTATTGTCTCAACTCTTGCCTTTGCTTTAGATGGCCTTCCTCTGACAGGATATCTTTATATGTAATGACCTTATCTTGCCAATATAAATTGGGGTATGTAACTGCTTCTAATGGTGAGAGCCAGTCTGGAGCTTCTGTGTAATATTGGCGTTTAACTATACTCCAACTTTTTGTAAGTTCTTGCCAAACTTTATGTCTCAGAAAATATTGATGGTTTCTACTTTTTTTACCTGTCCATAAGTGGGCGTGCCAGCCCTGCCCCTCTAAATATAAACATCTTTTATTTTCCAAAGTAATCCAATCCCTAATCCATGTCAGGGCTGCTGCTTGATAGTACAGCTCCCAATCCGGAAAACCTAATCCCTCTCTCTCTTTGGCATCCTGTAGAGCCTTTTATTTTAACCTCGCCTTCTTTTCTTGCCACACAAAATCCAAGGTTAATTTATTCAACTCTTTAAAGAATTTTTTATCTAATTGGATTGGAATATTTTGGAACAAGAATATCATTTTAGGTAAAATATTCATTTTCACTGCTGAGATTCTTCCTAGAAGCGAAAGATGTAAGTTTCTCCAGCGGTCTAAGTCAACTTTTATGTGCTTTACTAATTTTCCGTAATTGTCCTCTTTGATTGATGAATAACGTGCTGAAATAACAATTCCCAGATATTTTATTTTAGGAACTACTATACCTAGTTTTCCCCCAAGATTTTCTTTTTGTATATTAGTCATATTTTTTGCTATGATCTTTGTTTTATTTCTGTTTATTTTCAAGCCTGCCGAATCTCCATATTCCTCCAGTATTTCAAATAGCTTCTGACCTGATTGCACAGGATCTGTGCAATACTAAATGAATACTAAATCATTGGCATATGCTTGGAGTTTATATATTTCCTTCTTAATCTCAAGCCCTTTGATTTGCTCCTCTTGCCTTACGACTCTAGCTAAAATCTCCAATGTATATATAAACAGCAACAGCGAGAGAGGACATCCTTGTCTTGTACCTTTCTGAATACTGAATTTGTTGGTGGCCTCACCATTTATTATAATCTGAGCATTCTGTTCGGAATATATTGCAGTTATTACATTTATAAAGTTCTTACCAACATCCATTAATTTCAATTGTTGAGTCAAAAATAGGCAATTGACATTATCAAATGCCTTCTGTGCGTCTAGAAACAGAAGTGCCAGTTGGCAATTACTATGCAATTCGTAAAATTCAAGAAAGTCTATAATTGTCCTTATATTCCGCTTAATCTGCCTGTCCGGTAGAAAACCGTTTTGGTCACAATGTATGAAGTCAATTAAATAATTTTTAAATCTCTCTGCCATTATTGACACAAAGATCTTATAATCGGCGTTTAGTAA